GTCAGGGACTGGCTGATGGCCCCTCCGAAGAGGAAGGTCCCCCCCACCTTGTAGAGGGCGGCCAGGTAGTTGTTGAACTCGGACTTGGAGTAGAGGCGCTCCGTGTAGACCAGGAACGCCTCCCCCAGCGAGACCTGCAGAGACCGAGGGCAAAGGGTGAGGATCCTGGGGCTACCAAGCAGCTCCCCAGCACGGGGGGTACAGGATGCTCTGGCTCCGGGGCCTGAAGCACAGAAGCCCCCAGTGCCCACCTGCCTCAGGAGCTCACGCTCCATGCAGGGAGCCAGCCCCACAGGACATGGGTCTCACCGCCCCAAAAGGAACTCCTGACCCCCGGACGAGCAGAGCTTGACCCCAGGGTCCTGTTGCCCTGCCGGGGGTCTGGAGATGAGCTGTGCTGGGACCCCGCTCTTGGATACAACATCCCAGTGTGTCCCTGCCCCCGAGGGAAGGGGACGGTGCTTCCTTACAATGAGGACGGTGCAGGTGATGGTGACGCCAGCCATGAGGCCGTGGGTGATGGTGTCCGCCTTGTAGGGGTAGCGGATGGAGTCGTCGTTGCAGTAGAAGCCCCGCTTGTACGGGGAGTTCACCAGCGTCAGGATGATGAAGGGCAGGGATGCTGCGAGGCAGAGAAAGGCGAGGGCTGGGGTCACCCACCACGCTGGGCTGGGATGGCTCCCCAGCCCTCGCCCCCTTCCCTGGGTCTCTGCTCCCTGCTGCCGGGGAGGGATCCGCTCTGGGGACACAGTCCCGAGCCACCCGCGCCCAGGGCAGGACTCGCACCCACCGGCGCGTCAGACGTGCTGCTGATAGGGCCGTATCGGAGCTCGCAGCTGCCTGCGGCGCCCAGATACCACACGAGACGGCCGTGACCAGGCGCCTGCAGAGCCCCACGGCTGCCCCACTCCTCCCTGCAGCTGCAGTGCCTGGTGCAGGCGACCAGGGCTGATCTTGCACCCTCTCCTCACACTCCCCAGGGTCTCGTGACCTCGGAGGATGGAAAAATAAGGAACACCAGCATCTTGCAGATGTTTCACACAGGGAAGGGCCTCTAGGCCCCACACGGTCCCAGCAGGACCCTTAGAATCATAGAATCACAGAATGGTTTGGGGTGGAAGGGGCCTTAAAGCCCATCTAGTCCCACCCCCCCGGCCATGGGCAGGGACCCCTTGCACTAGACCAGGTTGCTCCAAGCCTCATCCAGCCTGGCCTGGGACACTTCCAGGGATGGGGCATCCACAGCTTCTCTGGGCAGCCTGTTCCAGTGCCTCCCCATCCTCTCTGTGAAGAATTTCTTCCTGATATCTAATCTAAACCTCCCTGTTTTCAGTTTGTCCCCATTACCCCTTGTCCTATCACTACAGGCTCTTGCAAAAAGTCCTCTCCCAGCACCCTTGTAGCCCCTTCAGATACTGGAAAGCGGCAATGAGGTCTCCTCGGAGCCTCCTCTTCGCCAGGCTGAACAAGCCCAATTCTTGCAGCCTTTCGTCATAGGAGAGGGGCTCCAGCCCTCTGAGCATCTCCGGGGCCTCCTCTGGACTCGCTCCAAGGGGTCAATATCCTTCTGATGTTGGGGGCTCCACAGCTGGACGCAGCACTCCAGGGGGGGTCTCACCAGAGCAGAGTACAGGGGCAGAATCCCCTCCCTCGACCTGCTGGCCACGCTGCTCTGGATACAGCCCAGCATCCCGTTGGCTTTCGGGGCTGCCAGCGCACACGGCCGGCTCATGGCCAGTTTTTCGTCCCTTGCCTCAGACCCAGGGGAGCCGGTGCCTGGGGGTGCTGGTGGGTGATCCAGCCCAGGCACGGTTGGACCCCAGCGCACTTGGTCCCCCGCTCACCCCTCCGCAGCCCTCGCTGCTGCCAGCCTCTCCTCTCCTCCCAGCTCCGGAGCGATGCTGGGACCGCCTGGACCACTCCAGGCCAAGAGGCTTTT